TATATGCATAAAAGACAGAACATGCTTGGACACAGGTCAACAAAATTTCAGTTCATCACATTCAGCAAAATAAGATTAGTTAGAATGTGAGCAGTCAACTAAAAAAAAAAGAAAGAAAGAATAAACAGACTTTGGTTTTAATATATACAGTAGAAACTTTCCCAGACGGCCACCCGTTGTAGAAGAGAAAAATAATTGTCTTACACAGGAGGACGTCTTGAACAGTATTAATATTATTACAAGAAAGAAAAAAACACAAAGGCGGGGGGAAGGTGGCATGAAGATGATTGTCTTGGACAGGAGGCCGTTAGAGCAGTTTAGCTGGGTAAAAGTAAATATTAAAAAGGTCACCGGATTCATCTTCTTGGATATAATAAATCAAGTTGCAACAGTGAATGAATTTTTTTCTTGGAACAATAGTGTTCAGTGATGTCTGAATCAACAAAAACAAGATATTATACAGGCTGCAAACTCTCCGACTATTGCTATACACAGTGCCATACCATGACAAACAGTATGGCAAGGAGTTTTCAAGATAGTCTCTCTAAAAGGGACCTTTGAGGAAGGAATAGAGGTGGGGTGTATTCGTTATTTTTGCATCCTCAAAGTCATTTTATACATGTAGGCTCTACACGTATTTTAACACACTCCACCATTCTCAACCAGCATGACTATGACTATAATATCATCAGCCAGCTGTTCAGATGACTTAAGCCCAACATTCTGAGTTTTTTTTTCTATTATAGTTCTGTGGTATTGGCTGCATGTGCCAAATAGACATTTTGTCAAAACCCATACTCTGAGTGTTGAAAAAGGTAAAAAAAAAAAAAAGATACAATAAATTAAGTTCAATTACAAAAAGAATGAAACAGGTTTTTTTCTCTCTCTCTCCTCAAAAGTTTTGCTGTCTGCTTTCTTAAAACATTTTTACCGTTTGCTGATGAAACACTTAAAAGCAACAGAAGGTCAAATGAAATGTAACTCACCCAATTTGTTGTAAGCCAAACGTTTAACTTGAAGACCCTCCTTGGCAATACGTGATTTCTCATAGGACTGTACGTGTAAAAATCCAAGCTGATCACTGAGGGTCTGGGTGCTCCGGCCATCATCTTTCAATTCTGCTCTCTTTTTGCTGAAACGGTTTAAGTAAAATTATTGAAATTATGTTTGATGCCTTAAAAGCAAGATATCACAACTTTTATGCGAAATGATTGATGCAGAAGTAAAAGAGTTGAAAAAGTGATCATTTTCGAATGGAAATATACTCTTTGTTTTAGTTTTATATAAATAGAGAGAGAGTTTTACAGCACTTGAAGTGAGTAGCTCGTACAAGTGCCAGGGGTTAGAGGAGTTACTAGAGAGTAACATACAAAGAAAAGAAGGAGAGACTAAAGATGACAGATGTTGCAGAGCAAAGTAGGGGACAGCCACACCAGAGCACCTGCCAACCACCCACAACCATGAATCAGCATGCACTCTAAACTAAATAGCATAAAAAATACTGTAGGCTATCGTTTTGGTCTATTAACATCATTAGAATAAACATTTGGCAGGAATTATACTTGCTGAAAAATTTTCAAGCAAACAATTCAAGTGGGTGGTTGGTGGATGCTCTAGTATGGTTTGCTCCTCTTTTCTTATGAAACGTCTGTCGTCCTGATCTCTTTGCATTCTTTACTTTGAATGTTGTTACTCTCTACTAACACCTCTAATCTTCAGCACTCATATGATCGTATTGTATTGGCAGTGCTGAAAAACGTACTAATATCAAACTAAACCATTTATGCAGTTAGAGTGGAACATTGTCCAAATGCAGTTACTAGAGTACATACTCCAATATACATTTTACTTAGTTTTTGGAAAAGCCTCTTATGTATTTAAATGTTTTAACAACCAACATAACAAAAGTTACACAGACCTGTATCGGGCCTCTATGTCTGCATTATGCACCATAGAAATTCCAACCATTTCCCATTCTTTGCTGAAATTAATGTCCAAGCAGCACTTGTTTAGGTCTTTGAGCAAATTCTGCACATCCCTGTTCTTCAAGTCAAGAGGCTGTAAGTTGTCTGAAGGAATACAACAAAAAAAGAAATGCCATGAAACCCAAGCGGCAAAGAGAAATTTAAACATTTATCAGTGGCACAGTTTAAGATGATGAACAGGTATAAATAACAAGGTTTCAGTGTTGACAAAAATAAACACATTCCAGCATCCACACAGCCAAAAGATTTTCGGGTCCTGAATTGTTTCTTATACCGTAAAAGTATATATTTCTTAGTTTATAAAACACATAGAGGGCCTACATAGAAATTCAAAACAAAAAGACATCACGTCGATTTCCTTATGTGCATGCCAGACGGTAGTACGTCCTTACAGTGGACTTGACATTTTAAAAAACTGATTAAAATGTTTTCATTATCATACAGAACAGATACAGTTTTTTTACATGGCCTGACCATATTCGGAAGAATAGAAAACTGATAGCATGGTTACAGTCAGGCAGTAGACTTGGCATAAAAAAACTAAAAAACATAGTTTCATTATCATACAGAACAGATACAGCTTTTAACATACCCTGATCATATTTGAAACAGGATAGAAGACTGATAAAATGGTTACAGTCACACTCTTCTTATTTTTGGCCATACTTTTGTGATCTTTTGACATCAGCATGATGATTAAGTCCAACCTGCTGTACAACATCATAAAGTTATCTATTTTTGGAACACAAAGCACACTAATAAAAAAAATGGCGAGTGGTCACCTTTGTACGTGTTCTTCTTCAGCTTAGGGATGTTGAAGCTTGAGCTTCCGCGTCCACTATCCGCCATCTTGGATGCGAAGTCGTCACTGGAGATGGTCAACCTGCAAAGACAAATGAAAACAAACAAACTGAATTCAAAATAGTCAAACTTAATTGAAAAATCTCCAAAACAATAAAAGCTCAAGAACACTCCCCCCCAGAATTTGAACCTAAGTCATCGGTACCATAGTCCATTCAGTGTGCTATAGTAGTAGTATCAGCGCGCCTGCCTTCAGAGTAAGGTCCATGACATTCTTAAGGTTACGTAACAATGTATAGCATCATTTCTCGTCCTGATCTAAGCGATCTGATCATGCAAATCAAATCCATTTGACCACTGGGTATCTCTTTTCATACCCAGCAAGTGCACAATGCTAATCATAACCATTAGATTCGACTTGGGCTAGCAAGATTTTCCTTCATGATTGACACAATTTGACCGAATTCGACTAAATTCGACGGTGACCTTCAAAAATCAAATTTTAATGCGTTTATTTTTCAAGGTCCCGACCTGAATCGGTCATATAGTACCAAAATGGTAGCTTTAGCCCAGTAGCGGCATCTGGTAGGTCAGAGCTACCTTTTCACTTTTTCAAAAAGTGTAACCAGTAGATCTCACATCAGGTCCTACCACGCAATATTGAAATAGATCGAGTATATTGTGTATCTTAAGCTGCAAGCAAAACGCCAAGTTTATTTATCACTCACACCACTGCGCACTCAAAAGGACTAGATCTACTCACGACTAAAACGTGACAAGATAGTTAAGTGTGCTCTGCTTGCACTGCACCAGTTCACGGGACAAGCGACCAAGAAAAACACCACCGTAACCTGGTATTGACCTCAGTTTGTGTTTAAAACATAGGTGTTTTTACTCCCCCATCGACACAATATAGACTGGGCTGAGAGGGATACAAATACAAAATCCCACCAGAAAGATCGAGATACTCGACAAAAATGTATCCAAATTCGGGAAATGAACTCGGGTCTTCTGCGGGCGACAGAGAAGCTCCCGCGCGGATGCTGTACCATAGATGTTGGTTTATTATACATTTTTTTTGTGTCGGACGAGACATCTTGACAATGAAAAATATTGTCAGCTTTGCAGAGTAGGCCTATGTATATGGAGAAATATGGGGAAGAAATGGTATAAGTTTAACGCCCCAATCAACACTACATATTAGGTTGTATTTAGAGGTCACGGAACCTCCATGTTTACCGTCCATCTAAAAAAGGACTGAGCCAATTTAGGAAAATCGTGGAAAGTGCCTTTCCCAGGGACACAATGAAGGAGTAGGACCGAGCTAGAATACAAAACATTGTCAGCTTTGCCAAGTATACATGTTAAAGTTAAATATAAACGGAAAATAGAATCTGTACCCATGAGCACGGGCGGGTCATTACACGTCAACCACTGAGCTAGAGATGACACCTCCAGGATACCAGCTATTGAGGTGTCTGTTCGTGCTCTGCACAAGGTGGCAGAACCAACCGAATTACATTATATATATATTTACTTACCCCATGTCATAAATTTATCACGCCAATTGATAAAGTGATAGATCTAAATGTAGGCAATAGTGTTCCGGAGAGTCATAAAGTCACTTCCCACAGAAAACTCAGCTTTGCTCTACTGGGATGCGCACATCTTGGGACTGATGAAGAGGGGAGGGAACCTGGGACACTATACATGTATTTATCATACGTTATGAGATGCAATTAGATCAATTTCAGGTCACACTCGTGCCACAACGAGGAAGATTTGGATTTGATATTGATATTCCGAGCTTTGAGTTTGAGTAAAATTAAGTTCATGTACAGGCCTATCGGGTGTGTGTGTGGGGGGAGGGGGGGGGAGGAGAGGGGTGAATTGGAACGCAACGCGGCCTATTAGCTCGTACAATGTACGTGTTCAACGAATCACTGGAGAAATGTCTCTCAGAATATATGATCTAATCTCTATACATTAATGTAGATCTAGGCCTAGAGCATGGACTGTTTTAGAACAATAAGAAAAAGGGGGGGGGGGAGGCCAGGGTTAGGTGGAGCGCTTGCGCCAATTGCACCAATGGCGTCACGCCCCTGAATTATGTTCGTGCACATCAAAGGCTACAACTACAGCGAATCAGTCTTCCTGTTTTGTTCCTCCACCCCTCATTCAACGCCTTTGACTTTGAAGTCATAACAGCGATTGGCCACGTTTCACCAGAGAGTTTACAGTTACTGTAAACCCTCTCTGGTTTCACCGCAATATCGGCAAAAGGGACCCCCCCCCCCCTCCAAAAAAACCCTACCTAAGAGAGGTCACTAAAAATATCGAGGAAATAAGGTGGTTGCATCCCTTCTCATATGCACGGTTTCGCGTAAACGCACGGTCGTGTAGGCTTAGGTTATGAGCCCTCCCTAGCATTACAGTATGACTATGTCTACATGTACCAAGTAAGTTGGGCTAAACCTGCGAAGAGAGAGAGGGGGGGGGAGAGAGAGAGAGAGAGAGAGAGAGAGAGAGAGAGAGAGAGAGAGAGAGAGAGAGAGGGGGGGGGGGGGTGAACAACGTTCTCTAGGACTCACTTTTCTTTCTTTTTTGTATGTAGACAAATGTACGTATGGAACCTTGTCATCGAATATAATATCATTTTCTTCGATACCACCATTGCGAACGTTGGAGACGAGTTAGAGAGTAAATGTGTACACATAAATAATACATGTGCCGTAGTTTAATCTGACAACTGGACTGGCTGAACGAGATGAGAGGAAAGGCAAAAGATTCAAAATGTAGCTCACGTATCACTTACTGTAGCGTTAATTCAAACACAACAATCTTGGGTACCACGTTCTGAGTACGCTACGATTACGATACACACTCACACGTCTTCCAAGTCCCCCCACTCCCCACAAACCACCACCTCTCGCATGCTGGCAGGCCAGACGATTGACCGCGAAAACTGTTATATATATATATAGATCTAGTCTGGTGACCCTTGAACTTGCATAGGTTGATGACCTCTCTACTCTACCACATGTATAGCATAAAGGGCGATAGTAGATTGTAATTGTATCACTTACGTCACTGGAGTGTGGTAGATCTAATGAGGAGAGCCAGCGATCGCCTTAGACACATACACGATGTATTATCATAATTCATAAATAACGGTAATTCAATTCGACGGCAGTCGCGTGAATACCCGTCCAAATTAGTGCGGTACAATGAAATGTTACTCATTATTACTGTTACATAAATTGTCCCGTTGTATTGTCGCCTCGTGAGTCAGCGCCCTTCCTCTTTTTTTTTTTAGATCACAGCATGCGAAGAGAGTGGGCCTTAGTAGGACAATTCCCTGCCCTTTAAAACACACACACACACACACACACACACACACACACACACACACACACACACACACACACACACACAGAAACAATGTAAGTCTAAACGATGATGAAACCAACACACGAGTTGGCGTGGCAAGTAAAATTTTGATCCAATTGTCCAACTTAGATCAAGTCTTCCTTGCTCTCACTTGAAAATTATTCGGTACATATAGAAATTTGCAGGCCTACTCCTACATGACGAAAAGATTTCTGGGACCCATTGATTACATTGCGGTATTTCACGTTCATGCTAGACTGGGACTGAGAATGTATGGGACTAATTACAAGAGCATTCGCATGCTTGTTATTACTGTTATACATATATATATATATATATATATATATATATAGTATGGAGTATACAAAAAATAGAGAGACCTTCTATCTCTATACCGGTATTTTAAAAAAGCGTTCGCTTATCCCCGATGGAACCAAGATAAAGGGAAGAACCAGGGAAGCAACGTTTTATACAGTGGAAACCATATCATATATAACAGGCCCGGTGACATTGACAACAGGGGTCCGGTAATAACGGATTTTTTAAATCCCCGTTTTTTTCCCACTTTTTGTCTCTACACATGTATTAAAAGTTATTGGCAATAACAGGGCCTCATCGGAGCCCATTCGGTTACATAGCAAGAACAAAGGCTCGTTTAAGTGTTTTAATTTTTATTTTAAGTCAGTGTTTTACGTCACTTGCAACACAATGAGGTAATATAAGTGCCAAAGACTGGAGGTGTTACATGAGAGTATAGAGTAACAAACACAAAAATGAAGGAGAGATTTATATAAGGACGATAGATAGTTTAGGAAAGAGGAAGCAAACCACAACAGAGCACCCGCCAACCGCCCACACAAAGGCACGTTGACAATGTGTAAGCAAGAGAGAGAGAGAGAGAGAGAGAGAGAGAGAGAGAGAGAGAGAGAGAGAGAGTGTGTGTAACGCAGAGGTGAAGCAAGTCCACGCAAGCCACGCCACTGCAAGCACACGCAGCAGGTGAAGCGAGAGAGGGCTGCCCGAAGCCTAGCTACACGCAAGCGTAATGCATCATACGCAGGGTACTTCTGGCATGGGGAACTACCCATGAATAAATACAGCAGGATTAGTCCACAAATGCTTACTTCCCTTGCATGTCTGATTTAACAGGGATCCGATATAACAGGACTTTTTCTCTGGTCCCACCATCCCTGTTATATCAGGTTTCCACTGTACAGCACCCCCCCCCCTCCCCAATCCCCTCCGTGTGTGTTGCAAGTTTTTACACTGTACATGTATTGTTTTACAGTAGAACACGGCTATAGCGGGACTTTTGGTTTCCGAAGAAAAATCCCGCTGTAGGCGACTTCCCCCAATTGGAGAATGCAAAGGGGAAATAATCGGAATTAAAATAATAAAAAATTCCACAGGATTATCTCCGTTCAATAAAATTTGCGCTTTAGTTTAGTCTTCCTTTTCTTGTCAACTTCGTTGATTATCTCGGCTTTTAATTCGAGTGAGAAGCATTTCCTGTTGTCTTTGTTGGAAGCCATCTTTCCCTTGGTCTCGTCGTTTGTGCTGTCTATCGTACCGGTAGGCCTACTGTAGAACTAGTGAAGTGGGTGCGTATACAATGTAGGCCTATGATGAGCACCAACAAACGCAATTCAATGAATCAAGAATCACATACCACACGCTCTCCTTCTTCTTTTG